ACATACTTTCGGGGTCCAGGTACCTCTTCTCGGAACGGGCATTGCAGCTGGGCGATGATGCCCGGAACATGCCTGTGCAGCTCCAGGTCTCCGCTCGTCCGGGCGGGTTTAGGGTTTAGGGATCTCAGAAACTTTCTGTTGGGGATTTCGGGTGAAGGGGCTTTTGGGTATCACACCTAGACCCCTGTAGCAGATCCTGACCATGGCCACCTTTCGTGTATGCCAGGGTTCGCGTCATGATTTAGGGTTTAGGGTTTTGTATAGTTGAAGGGTTTGAGGCTTTTGGGCATTTAGGGTTTGGGCTTAACTTTAGGATATGATGTTAAGGCTTCGGGCGATCTGTCCTGCTTCACCGAACTACCTTGACGAAGGTTTTCCCAACGATGGTCTCTCTCGGGCTTTTTGGGCTTCGGGATTTCTCGTTCAGGGCTTCTCTTCTTGCAAAGCACGTCGTACATGTCACTACTTGAACCCAAGACCACGTGAAAGGAAACTACGGGTGGGGAGTNNGGGCTTCTGTAAGGCTTCCATAAGGTGTATAGACCTTCTATAAGGCTCCTATAACGGTAACTACCCACCTGAAAAGGTCCTAGATTGAACCCAAGACCAAGACCAACAGGAGCACTCCACGTCCGAGCCCTAAGACCCTAATCAGCTCAGGAAGTCGAGCTTGGACGTTCAGCCGTGGTTCTAGCATTGCCTAAGGGTCCGTGTGCTCAACTACCTATACTTTGGCCCCAAACTGCCCAAACAGGGACTACTTTAGAGACCAAATACAAACTATTTGGGCACATGGACCCTCAGGGATTGCAGGGCATACACCTGTGTCTGTTTCACAACCTCTGACTTGCAGCAAGTTGCTACGAGTATGCATGTCTCTATGCTCATAGATGTACTGCAGCCGTCGCGACCAGCTGACCATGTGCCTACTCTTTTCGCTTCTCGTTTCAGCTTGAGGTTTGGCCGGGTTTAGGGTTAAGGGCGCACTCAATCCAACTTGCATTTGCCCGTGTGGGGACAATATCACGACTGCTAAAGCTAGAAACCCAAATGTCTAAATCCTGTTAGCCTCCGATGACCTACGACCACCCTGAGACGGGGAGCGAAAACCGGAGTTCAAACCCCTACAACCGAAGCCGTAAACCCCAAACCCTAAACCCTAAGTTTCTGCAACCCGAACGCCTAAACTCTGCAACCCTAAATCTTACAACCCCTAAACCCTAAACCCTAAAATCTTACAACCCCTAAACCCTAAACCCTAAATTAACACCTTAACTCTTAAACCTACACCGGCCTCACCACTAGAGCCCTACATCCTCAAGCCCAAGGAGCCTCTGCCCAACAATGCCCACCACGAGACCGGGTAGAGAACCGAGCTTGTGCGCTAAGACGAAGTCCCTGAAGGGCTTAGGGGTTTAGGGTTTAGGGCTTAGGGTGCAGGGTTTAGGGGCTGAAGTGGGAGATTGGATTCGGAATCTAAAGCTTTTAAATACGTACTTGTTGAAACGGTTGCTCATTATTCAAAAAACTGGCAGTGCTTCGTTACTGACCGTTTTCGCATGCAGGACTTGAGGTTGGATTTCGGGCTGATGAATCCTTGAAGGGGACTTCTTTGACCGCAAAAAGGCAATGTGGCTCGAAGGGAAACCGGTTCATAATTACTGCAACTGCTTCAGCTACCAACGCCACTACAAAGGAATGACAGAACCGTATTGCCTGACCGCTGTGTGCATGTTTCGTACGACTTTGAAAATTATTGTACAACTCTCCATGTGAATAGTCTTGATATTCTTATCATCACTAGCACTCCTGCTACTGCTTTTGATACTACTACTAACAAGAAGCATATCGATATAAAGAATAACATGTGTACTACTACTACTACTACTACTACTACTACTACTCCTCCTACTACTCCTTATCGCCTACTCCAACTCCTACTCCTGCGCCTGCTCCTAGTCCTACTTCTGGCAAAGCTAAAAATATATGTGAATCTGCATTATACGATGTGTGTGTGTGTGTACATATACGTACATATTTACATATATATGTATATATATATATATACATACATATATATATATATATACTTCTTTACTGATGCATTTAAATGTGTGCGTGTGTACGTGTGTAAGTGTGTGTATAAACCTGTATATGATGTTTACACAGTACGTGCAACCAGTGTTGAACAGTACTACGTGTATATGTGCTATTATATGTGTATGTGAGTATATTATATACCTATAAGTTGCATCGATGTATGCATGGACGTAGGCATGTAGGTGTGTATGTACGTACGTATAAGTTTGTAAACATGTATGCATGCATGCATGCATGCATGCATGCATGCATGCATGCATGCATGCACGCATGTATGCATGTATGTATACATGTATGTCTGTAGGCATGTATGTCTGTATGTCTGCATTTCTGTATGTGTGCTTGTATGTCTGCGTACCTGTATGTATGTGCGTATGCATGTATGTATGCATGTATGTATGTATCGCGACACATACAGACATGGACATAGACTTGCTGGTGTGTTTGCTTTTGAAGGAGTGAAGCGGCTATGATGCTTTTGGAACACAACAGAGCAGGATGCCACACAAACCCACGAAGCACAGATTGTAAAGCCAACAGAAACGGCACGAAAGGATATGTGGCTTAATCACAAATCTCATGATAGGTACTGGTGTGGCAGCATGCAAATATCAAAACAGATTTGTTACGTTCTAACAACATTAGCAACGAAGCAACGGGTTAAACGAACCAGGCCAACCATGATCTTCCAATAGAACTTGATAATGCACAACAGGGTTTAGGGTTTAGGGTTCTGCCTTTCCCTGACAATGCAGTTGGCAACAGCCGTCTCGAGTTCCTCCTGGCACTGCAAGCTTTAGGGCTTAGGTTCTCGCATGCTGGGTAGTTTCTGCAACTGTTTCTTTGCTGGGTTGGGAGTGCTAAGCCTTCAACCCTAACATACCCGAGCACTGACAGAAGTTACGAGGTGAGGTGGTTTGTGCTTTGTGCCCTGTATCATAGCGGATGTGTAAAGTACGACGTCTGAGAGAACAAGTGTTGATCTGCGGTTGAGACTCTTGCCAGGCACATCGGGATCTTATCTAGGCACGTAGCTCTGCAATTTTAATTTTGAAGGAGTCGTCTGGCTTCGGCTTGGCGCAGCTGGGGGATCAGCTGGTAATTGGGGTGCAACTGGGCGGAAAGAAGTAAGCTATCTGTCCACGGTATATGAATACCCCCACCCAAAAAGACCTGCATACAAACGGCCAGGATGCCATGAGTATCCCTACTTTTGAGTTCGGACCTGTCTCCGACGGAGTTCGGATGCCGGGTCCGACTATCCGACTATCCAGTAACGATGCCAGACCTCAGGGTTCAAGGGTTGAAGTAACCCTAAACCCTAATCTGGGACATTTTCAGGTGGGTAGTTGCCGTTATAGGAGCCTTAGAGAAGGTCTATATCCTTATGGAAGCCGTATAGAAGCCCTATATACCCTAAACTCCCCACCTGTAGTTTCCTTCAACCTAAACCCCAACCGCTTGAAAGCGCCATGGCAGCCATGGACATTGAGAGGGACTTTTGAGCAGCCAACAACGAAACTGCGAAGCCGTGTTATGAAACCTTAAATCACCGAGCTGCTGCAGGTAGCGTGGCTAATGAGACCAACAGCCACAACCGAGATCTTAATGCAAACCCAAATCCTACCTCTAGCCTTTATCTTAGTCCTGTTCTGGCAAACCTTGTTTTAATGTAGGATCCTAGCCATAACGGTGGTTCAGCCGAAAATGGAACTAGGTCGTAGACCCTGAATCCAACCTGCATGCCTTGGATCGGAAGCCCTAAACCCCTAAAGGCTTTACTATACAAGACGCCCTAAACCCTAAAACCCTAAACTCTAAACCCTAAAACCTAAACCCTACCCCTAAACCCTGGGCTCCTGCACGTCCACCGCACATGCACGGCCAAATGCTGCCATCGACCCTGCCATCGGGCTACAGGGGATAAGACTGGAATTATAGAGTAAGAGAAGAGCCTTAATGATCAGAGTAAGGTTTGGGGGGCGTGTTGTGGTATCATTGTACAGCGACAATCATGGAACAATATTTCCAACTAGGTCGCAGGGTAGATTTTCTCAAATTGACATCGGGATTTTGTTACTAAACCCTCAACCCTAAGCCCTATACTATTCATTTCGGTGTCGAAGCTTCATTGATGGACTCGGCCCTTGCTTTAAACTGGGATTGAAAACAGCAGTGGGTAGTTCAAACTCCTGTTGCAGGAGTCGGAAGCTTTTGGTTTAGGGTGTAGGGCTTGGGGTTTGCGGTTTACTGCTACAACAACAACAACAACAACAACAACCACAACCACAACCACAACCACAACCACAACAACAACAACAACAACGACGACGACGACGACGACCACAACAACAACAACAAC